GTGCCTTAACCACCTGGCCATGCCGGGCCATAAGGGAAAGTAAGCAAAAGTCTTTAAAATTAATCATATTATAGCTATATCAAAATGTCAGAGTTTTAATATAGCTCTAAACAGTTACTGATTTTACAAAAATCTGCGTACATTGTTCTTATTTATAGTGCCTTCTGGTTGTCAGGTAGGTTGATATATAATTAACGCTTTTGGGGTATAAGCTAAACAGTCTACCAAACAATTACCAAATATCAATGTCAAAATAACGAGCGACTTCTACCGTCAACGCCAATAATATTTCACTGAAGCGTCTTTGTTCTCTTTTGTTATTTTTTAAAATTAGAATTCATTCGCTCAGTTTCAAAGTTACATATTTACTTAACCATTACTTTTGTACATACTACTTCCAGGCTTTCCCTATAGCAACAACTGAGACTTGCTTTATCTAATATTGTTTCTATAATTCTGAAAATGATAAGATAAGAAGCCAATTCATTCGGAAAACAAAAATCATTAAATGATGGTGGAATATTTGATGCGTGAAAGTAACTCTAGTTTTGCCAAAGTAAATTGATGTAAATAAAAAAAAATATCGTTTACATTCAAAAATTTGCATAAACGTCAATTATAAACGAAATTTAAAATTTTGACGTCCTCCACAAACAAATAATTATAGCTAAAGTGCCTTCTTCAATTCGGAAAATGCTATAATTTTTAGTCTACCTAAATTTATTGGTTAACACTTTATAAAGAACCAGTTTATGAGGTACAGTAACATAGTAGTAACATTTATATTTTAAGACACATTCATTATAATGTCAGCAGTCCTTATATGTGGTTTAAGACTTAATCGGGGCTTTATCAGCTTGTCTAAAAACTAATTGAAATGCCTCAATATAATGGGAAAAACACATTAAATATATATTTTAGCGTGACCTAATAGAAATTATCTTTTAAACTAAACATCAAATTTATTATTTATAACACAACTAACTATATAGCTTTTGTGCTTATCCCGGATGATAATGTTAGTTACACCATTTGGGTCATGCTACTCGAATTTGTCATATATTTGTATATATCTTTTACGTATATATACTTTATCCTTACGAGAAACAGGAGAAAAACAAAGGATTTAAGAGCTGTGCCTAATAACATGATAGACAGAGACTACAAAATAATTGTAACAACTGCCAGGAAACAGAAGAACAACAGCAAGAGGAAAACGAAAACCAATCAATAGATGCACAGGATTTAATAACTGAAGAACGAAATTACAAAGCATCAGTATAACTAAGAAACAGGACAAAAATAAGAGATCCAAGAGCTGTGCCTAATAACCTGACAAACAGAGATAACAAGATAATTTTAACAACTACCAGGAAAGAGAAGAAGAACAGCAAAAGGAAAACGAAAAACAATCAATAAATTCAACAACTGAAGAACGAAATTACAAAACATTAATTAGAAAATTGACTGAAGTAGCAATATCAACAAGTAGAAAGAGAAGCTGAATCAGTTGAATATGAGTGGAAACAGGTGAAGAACGCCCTTTACTATACAGCGGCATGGTTCTGCAGAATATAGAGAGGAGAGATCACAAATAACACAGGGTGGTGGAGCAAGAAAGCTTAAGAAGCAATACACATCAAAAGAACAAGTATAAGCTGTGAGCAAATGCTAAAAATGTAGAAGATTATGTGGAATACAGGCTTTCCAGAAGGCCTGCTAAAAGAATCACCAACAGAGCATGGACAGAATCATGGCAAGGATTTGGTGATGAGCTTACGAACAAGACAAAAGTGTACCATCAAAGAATTATATAAGACTGTCGAAACAATTAATAAATAAACGCAACGTATGACCCCACAGGATTGTTAACAGCAAAGGTGGAACTCAAGTTAGTAAATCTGAAGAAAGAGTACTCTAAAGATCTACCTCACTCCCTCGGAAATAGTAGAGCGACACACAAAATAAGATCAGAAAGTTGAAGATGACGAACCATACCTACTATTGAGCGAAGTCATAGAGGCGATCAGGATAACACAAACTGGAAAAACTCCTAGCATTGACAACATTGAAGCAAAAATAATCAAAGCAACAGGAGCAACAGAAGTGAAATGGTCACATAGGGTCGCATAAGTGGCTTGTAAACAATAAGTACTAAATGATTGGCAAAGAGCTGTTAATATAACTATCTGGAAAAACAAACGAAACAATAGAGTTTGCACTAAGTATGAAGAAATGTCATTGCAAAGTCACACAGAAAGATGTTTGTCAATGTAGTCGTGAAAAGAGTGCGACCCATCATCGAACTTCAACTTCGAAAAGGCTTTCGACAGAGTTAACAGAAGCAAGTTGTGGGACATTCTCTCAAAGTTTGGTGTTTACACGTAAGCGACCGCCATTGAAAGAGCTCTATATAAACACAGCAAGAGTTGTATCAGAACAAAAACAGGATTAACGGACTAGTTCAATGTGTTCACAGGAGTTAGACATGACAGCGTACTTACTTTTCAGTTCCACTTCGACAACATCTATAAAGAATCGAATCAAGTAGACAAAAGATTGAATTAACTACTATTTATTGGGGACCACAGTATATTCAACTATGAGACAGACAATGTCCAACAACACCTTAATTAACTAACTGTAGAATATGTCAGGGAAAGCATGAAAAAAAGATCGTGTCAGTGAAAATCAGTTATCTAAAAATAGTGGCAGATGTGACTAAAAGAGACAGGATAAAATTTGAAGCCATCAATCAGATAAAAACTGGGACAGACCCCATTCTCCAGGCCATTCAAGTACAACAGATGAGATGGTATGAACATCTATTGAGATAACACCCAAAAACAACATTAGAAAGATCGACGGAATGAAAGCAAAGGGGATAACTCAAAGAAGGTGGATTGACGATATTAAAACATGAACAGGTTATTCACTTTAACTAGCCATCCAAGTGACTATAGTATGACTTTTTTATTCCTCAGACAACAACTGAAGTATAAGGAACTATAGTAAAATAAGATGCATAAGTCAGCAATGCCGGTTTGCTGTTCATAGAATTTATATGTTAAAACCTATTTCTCTATATCTGATGGTCACCGAACTTACACTTACTTTCAATCTGTGTATGGATATCATTTACAATAACTTGTAACTGGCCTATATTCATGTCAGTTAGAATTTGTCTGCTAAGCCGGTGTCGGCCGTCTGGGAGGGGAAATCCAACCTGTAAAAATAATTTGTAATGCTGATAATTGTTCGGTAAAATGTAAGAAACACTTCAATAAATATTTGTATAATACAGTAACAAAAACTATGACTTTATTAGATTAAAACGAACATAATTGGAAACAGGCATGAACGGAATGCCTCAAAGTTACATTCAAGTGAACACATTTTTCTTATTTTGCTTATGATTGTAATGTGTCAAGGTTCCGTTGCGAACGTAATGCTGATTTTAAACTATATGAATATTTTAGGTAAGTCGAAAGAGAAACTGCACGAAAAATCAATCCACCTGACCTTCCTTGCCAGATTTTAATTTTCTATCTAATTCCTAAGATAACGAAATCTATATTAATTTCATACTTGAAATAAATATGACAAATATAGAATCTGGAATTTGAAGTGGGTAAATAAAATTACTTAATCTTATATAAACAACTGTAATGTGTTACGTGTTTGTCTTACATTAATTTTTTACATACTTACAATTTCTGCAATTGGAGATTTTTTCTTTCTTTGTCTTTCTACTTCCATTTGCATTCTAGCCATTTCTTTTGCTTGAGCCAATGCCATTCTGGCCTCTGCTTGTAGCCGTGCGTGCCTTGTTAGGAAATCTTCCTCTGGATCTTTTTTTTCCGTTTATCTTCATCTTTCTTCTGAATGGAACACAAATGCCAACTTCGTGGTCGAGTAAATAAAAAGGATGGCCTCTCTCGTTTGGTGCCTAACAGTTGAGTTTCATTCGAACAGAGCTTCAAATATGCTTCTGACTTATTCTTGAAAAGAAAAAAAAACAGGTTTTATACTGCATGGAAAAAACACTAATAGTTCGAGAAATTTTCTTAGTTGTAAGGAACTACTACAACAAACAAACAAAATTCACTTACAACTGTTGCTGTATTATTTCATGATCAACCTACAAATCTTCACATGTAAGTTTTAATTTTCTATGTTAAGATTCTTCACCTCATTTTTTTTAATTGGAAAAAAAATGAAATTTAATACCACAGTTTACAGAACTCTGTACATTAAGTAGCTAGTTTAATATTTATAGTGCTAACTGTAATTTTGAAATTTTGAACGCATGATGAAGACTATCGAACTCGTACTGACCTTTTTTCGAAAGGAAATATCCTCTCCATCACCCAAAAGCAAAGTTTTATTTTTTGAACCTATCCGCATGTATTTATTTTTGTTTTTATAATTCATGTTCTCTGTATCATGGTCGCTGCCTTGTCCTTCTTGGTCACTTGCCGTCTCATTCATAAAACATATTTGGAGATTCATGCCACTCTGAAGTCGTGTAGTGAGATTAGGCTTTTTGGTTACTTTCTCGCCACAATAATAATCCTCGTTGTCCGAATCCATGGCTAGTTTCCTACGGATTTCTTCCCGATCTTGACGACGCTTAAGATTAATATACACATATATATATATATATGCTTTAGTAATATTAAACTAATTTTCAATACAAACAATCGAAATTAAAAAATTAAAATATAAAAGCGTTCAACGATACAACATTTTTCCAAACAGGAAAAAATGAAAATTTCTTCTGCTAAAACTGAACTTTTTTGTGGATCAATGTAACCTCTTTGGATAAAAAAAATCTACAAAATTAAAAAAAATATATATCCTCTTTATTTTATTTATAATGTCTCTCGTATATTGATAGACTTGTGTGAAAAAGTAATTTGTTTAACTCAAATTACAAAATTAAAATGAAGATTTATGTGTTGTAGTTGAATAATCTCCAAAGCTAGGCTAGTCATGATTTTTCAAGATAATTTTACTTTTACTTGGTTTCTTCTGTTTCTAGGTATTAAAATAAAGTATAAATATTTATATTAACGCGATAGTTCTCAATTGGGACAACTGGAAGTTTAAAGACTTCTAACGCTAAAATCCAGAGTTCGATTCTCCGTGGTAAGACAGCAGATAGTCCAATGAGGCTTTGCTCTAAAATAAACAAACAAACAAACGCAATGACGGATGTAAGCTCGGTGCATGAGAAAAATACACAACGTTAACTTGCCAACAATAAGTTTGAATTTGTTACTTTTGCTAAAATTGTTTACAAATATATAAAATGTACTATCAGTGTTTACCGCAGTTCAGATTAATAATTCAGTCACTCCTAATATTTATTTTCAGTCCATTTTGATAATAAAAAATAATCCGTCAAAATTTATATACATAGTTTAAGTGGAATCGAAGATTTTGTACTCGGCGAAAGAAAATTTGATGCACCTTAAAGAAAAAAGCAATACAAAACATTCTTAACGGAAACAAATATTAAAACCCTTTTTAGAAACAATAGGATAAGTAAGATTAGAGAAAGTAATGAAAGAGAAAACAAAAAGAATACCCAGTTGAGATAAGCGGAACCAATCAGAACAGAAGCTATCGTAAAATTAATAGGATGAAGGTTCTAAATAACATGATTTGATAAAGATAAACACAACGACCGGTTATCGATGTTTTCAGGTAACTGACGTAATTTAGGAAACAGTTAATTACAAGAAGTTAATTTTATGTAAAAAAAAAAATGACTCAATTAAGTAGACTGCAGATTTTGAAAATATAGGATTTTTTGTAAGTTTACAATTTAAAGGATTTTTTTCCTGGCAAAAACTAAACGCATGTGGCAGAGTAAGATAATGAAGATTTGGTACAGATCTATTGTTTGTTTTTAAACGCAAACATGCACAACAGGCTATCAGTGCTCTGCCGGGATCACACTCTAAATGTTAGTGTTATAAGCCCTCAAACTTACCGTTAGTTCACTAGGACAGTACATATTTTAAGCTGGAAAATTATCTTTTTGGAAGCATTATTTTTGTCTACAAATTAAATATCATAACAATACATTTTGTTAACTCCATCCATATAGAGTAATTTCCAAACAGCATTTAAACGTGTTCGTTGTTTTTTTTTTTAACTTTTAATAAATAATCAGTTTTTCGTAGGAAATTGTTTTATTCTATTTTCCGGATGTATTTTGTCCAGAATTTAAGTATTAAGGTTAATATTTTGTTTGTCTGCTTTAGAACAAAGCCATTTTGGACTATCTATTGTGTCCATCATGAGGAATCGAACCCCGGATTTTAGCGTTGTAAGTCCGTAAACTTATCACTGTCCCCCCCGGGGTCTAATATTTTTCCAAGCGTAATTTGGCATTTTTGCAGTATTAGTTTCAAAAACTCATAACGAAAATTACTAATATATGTCATTTGCGTTTAGTGAATATTTTTAAAAAAAGTATTGTGTGTCGAAGGTCAAAAAAGTAGTTTTTCATTTCTTTTACTTTGAAATGTCATTATAAAATATTTGTCAGCACAAATAGGTGCATCTCTGCAACTGCCAGAGGTGAAAAAAATTTTTGGTTTAACAAAAATCCAAGGTTTTGTATTCGAAGTAAAATCCTTGAATACATAAAATCTGTTTCACTTATTTAAGCCAAATACAGGTCTCTTAATTGATTAACAGGTATTAAATTAATTACACCTTATATGTATTTTTGAATACTTCAACCACAAAATAAATAAATAAATAAATAAATATATATATATATATATATAAAATTGTTCAAGTAGATATACAACTACATATAAGAGGGAATCCTCAATAGCCGCGGCTACTTGAAATTATTTTAGGCAGGATTAGAGTAAATTAATCTACGAGACCTTTGTTTTCTTTATTCGCCATATTTTTGTGTGCCAGCAATACCAAGCGTGGGGTGCGCACATCCCCGATTTAATTTTATTATTCATCTCTACCAGCCTACCCTCAAATTGAAATTCTTTAGGCAGAATTAGAAAATTAATCTATGAGACCTTGGGTGTGATAAAATACATCAATCGAAAGGGTATGACCTCATGAATCCAAAACTGTAATTAGATCTCAAGTCGGTCAAGAGATGATGGAGCTATGGACTAAAAGTCTGTACTTGAAAAAAACAAAACCAAAACTCAGAGCCGTTCTATGAGCCGTTA